TTTTTTTTTTTTTTTTTTTTTGGAGCTGGGGAGAATATTAAGCTCACAAGAATAAAAAAGGTCATTCAGTAATCTACAAGAAAGAGGTAAACATGCTGCTGTGAGGGTGCGTGTCTACTGCCCTTCACGCTATGGGTTATATCTTTGCCAAATTCAACATACAGTTCACCAATTGTTATTGGAACAGAAAATATGTGACTGTTCAAGCCGTTTGGGTGAGATGCTTGTAGCCATTCTGGAGAATTACTTGTGACTCGGCAAGTTCAGTCACAAACATTTGTTTTCTTTCTCACAGGGAATCCTCGGCTGACCTGTTGTCTCTGCTGGCATATATCCCCAACCAAATATCAAAAGTCCAGATTTCAAGCAAATAATTTCCTCTTAGCGTTCAGGACCGAGAAACAAAAATAAACCAAATAGATAGAGTAAGCAACCCCATCTTAGCTTGCATCCACAATAGGTAGGTTGTTGAGAGTATAAACATCCATTAACAAATTTCATGGCTTTATGCCCAAAAGAAGAAAAAATATTCATGGCTTTACAAAATCTTCCAAAACAAAACAAAAGCAGCCAAGCCAAATCACTTTTGCTGGCGGCTGTTTTTCCTTGTATCCACCAATGAAGCACTTATCTGTCTCAAATTTGATGCATACGATAATGAATTAAGACCAACTATTCACGGTCATGCAAATTTGCATCCAAGCTTCCAACCACAGACAGTTTCGTTCTGATCGTACATTAAACTGGAAATCCTGACCGCACTTCTGTGGAACCAAAAGCTTTCATAATCTACTTAAATTAGCTCACTTATTACTGAACCCTTCATTCACAAGAAATTATCCAGAAACTCTAACCAAGAATCTGTTTATAGTTTCTCCTGACCCGCAATGATCACAAATAGGATATCCACGTAAAGAATTTGGCTTCCCAATGGATACACGGTGGTTTGCACCAGAAACTAGGACATGAGTTTCGTCCTCCCTTTGATGCAATTAAAGGAGTCCAATTGTGTGTTTTCTTTCTTTCACACGCCTCTCAGCCCAGTCCTTAGGTCAATTTAATTGCAGAGGTTTAGCTAAAAGGTGTGAAGATATCGTGTCTGGCCTGACTGCCTTAAGGTTAGCTGGCTCATCCTACGTTCCTCCTTCAGACGTTTCGCTGAAGCCACAAGATAAATGAATTTCACAGTCAGCATCTCCATGTAACATGCAAATAGCTCCTTAAATAAACTCAGACAAGCTCACTCCAGGACTAGAGGACAGGAGTAGCTATTTCTTGATTTCAGCCGTAGTTGTCTCCAAGTAGACACCACCTTCAACCTTCTGACAGAGCAATATATGGTGAAAATTTAGATAGACCTGTCAGAACATGTTGCTAGGTCATTTCTGAAGGGAATCAAAATCTCAAAGATGTTTCTCAGCATTCGTTAAAGATTTGAAGCATCTGCTTAAACTTCTGCTAATCTTCTAGGTCATGAAGCAGGCAATCTAGCTCGAAGACTGCAACTTCTGTTTTGGAAGCGACTAAATCCAGAATATAGTATATCTCTTCAGACTGAGAATGGGATCGATCACCAGCGACAAATGCAGAAATTTGATCCTTGACTTTGATCCAAGACCATCCTGGCTCCTTGATGACACCTTTTGATTTCAAGAGCTTCCTAACTTTTGCTGCTTCTCTCCACTTTCCAGCCGAAGAGTAAATATTAGCTAGGGTAATGTGGGTCCCTGCACAACTTGGATCCATCTTAAGAATCTGTTCTGCAGCTCGTCTTCCGCATTCAACATCACCATGTAGCCTCGACGCTCTGAGCAGAGTCGACCACACAACATCATCCTGATCAAGTGGCATAGTCTTGATCATGTTCTCTGCATCATGCAATCGTCCAGCTCGGCATAGGAGATCAATCATGCAACCATAATGTTCTTTAGAAGGGGTTATCTTATACATCTTGCTCATCAAGTTGAGGTAGTGAAAGCCAAGGTCAACGAGCCCAACATGGCTGCAAGCACTAAGAACACCAATGAAGGTCACAGGATCTGGTCTCAGGCCAACCTTTGCCATTTCTTCAAATAACTTTATGGCTTCATGGCTGTATCCGTGTTCAGCATATCCATTAATCATGGCAGTCCATGATATGACATCATCATTCTCCATCTTATAGAATACAGTCGAGGCTTCTCCTATACTTCCACATTTTGAATACATATTTATTAAAGCACTCCTAATCATAGCTGTGTGATCTAATCCAATAATGAAAACATGGGCATGAAGTTGCTTTCCTTGGTCAAGAATTGCCATACTTCCACAAAGACTTAACAGACTAGCAAGAGCAAATTCAGTGGGCTTTGGTCCTGACCTTCTCATCTGTGATAGAAAATCAAAGGCTTCCTCGCCATAACCTCCTTGAGCATATCCAGCAATAATTGTGCTCCAGGAAACAATATCCCTCGTGCTCATTTCCTGAAACATTTTAGTAGCTGAATCGAGTTGTCCACACTTTGAGTATAAAGTCACAAGGGAATTTGTCACAGATAGATAATGAGCAAGACCTAAACGAAGAACATGTGCATGCAACTGTTCACCCCAGTCAAGTTTCAAAATATTTGCACAGCCCGAGATCAGAGTCGAAAATGTAAACCCATTAGGACTGACATCAGATTCTCTCATTTGCAAGAAAGTTTGTATCCCAAGATGCTCTTGACCCATCTGAACATATGTCGCAATCATGGTTGTCCATGAAACCACATCTTTGGCATGCATCTTCTTAAACAACTGTAAGCCATAATTCAATTTATTGCACTTATTGTACATTGTTGCAAGACTATTAGCAACATATGAACTTGCATCCAACCCTTTTTTTATCGTGTGGGTATGGATTTCTCTGCCATAATTCAATTCACCCAAATTGGCACATGCCTTCAATGCAATGGCCAAAGTATATGAATCGTAATTAATGCCTTCTCTCCACATTTCAGCAAAAGACATTAAGCCGTCCATATCAGAACCAGCATGAACAAGTCCTGTAATAACGGCAGTCCAAGAAACTACATTCCTCAAAGGCATCTCATTAAAAACTATACGAGCATCCCAAACCTTCCCAATTTTCATATACATATCAACTAGTGCACTTCCGACGAAAACAGAATTCACAAAGCCAGTTTTCACCGAGTATCCATGTAGTGAATCTCCAAATTTCTTGTTCATACTAATCCCAGAAGCCTTCAATGCTAGACTAAGTACAAAAGGGTCCATTTGAAGATTAGGGTCAACCCACATCCTAGAAAACAAAGACAATGCTTCTGACGGATCAGATCCGTTGACATATCCTGCTATCATATTGGTCCACGAAATTTCATCCCTTTGCGGCAATTCATCAAACATCCTCCGCGCGTCACAAAGATGCCCCATTCTCACAAGCTCTTTCAGCCTTGAGTTAATTAACAAGATGTCAACTTGAGAACCTTCGTGGGGTTTTCTTGTCAAGTAATCTGTGCTCGTCCCAGAAGCCAAACAACTTCTGCGTTCAGCACCGTAGGCAATACTTGAGGTTGCATATAATCTTCTGATACAGGGCCTCAATGGTGAGACCATAGTTTTGACTTACTCACAGAAGTTGATAGTTCTGTGATCCAACAATCCCGCCTCCTTCATGATGACAATATTCTTTTTCGGCTCGGCGTATTGCAGAACCCTCTACCCAAAAACATAATGACACTTATGGGGAGAGCATTATCTGCGAACGCAGGATCCATAAAGTTCAAGTTTAGATGTATAGGCTGGCACGACGAATCAAAGAGATCCAGAAAGGAGAATTCTTTTCCCAAAGACACAATCATTCAAGTGGGGTTAGTGCTTTTGGGGCTCCGTTGTGCTGCCTGCTTCGAAATTGTTTAGACGATAATCAACTGAAGTCGTTATTCTATAATCTCACTATAATTTTTAACGCGGTAACGCTTTCCATGCCTGTACACGAGACCATGTAGCGGGACAAACGAGGGAAGAAGGCGCTACACATGAGGCGTTAAGACTTAACGACTTTGATGAGTGCATAGACAGGCGTGGTTCTCGGTCCAAGTTAGACAAAGATAGTAAAAGTGTTTGTTTAGTGTTTACAGAGGAAAAGAGAAGTAAAATAACTTTCTTACAAGTTTTGAACGTTTGCTTGTTATGAAACTTAATGGAAAATTTTTCGTAATCGCTCATTTTCTTGTAAAATTTTTCCCATTGAAATTGATAGGAAAGTGGGTTAGAAGAAAGTTTCAGTTAATTAAATTTCTTTTATAACTCATTTCTTTTTAACCTATTTCCTCCGTTCTAAATTTCTACATAAGTTAGACCATTTTAGAATTTACAATTCAAAAAATCAACTTGTAGTTAGACATTTTATTCTTATTTCAATAATTCATGAATTAGTAGTATTTTTTAATTCTAATTAACCAACTACTTATTTTTTTTAATCTTTTGTACTTCTTTTTTTTGTCTTTTTTTTTTTTTCAATGTAAGCGAGAAGATTCGAACCGAGACTTTTGAGTCTTTCACTTGTACTCTGTTTCCTAAACCATCCAATTAATCCCTTTCAATCTTCTACCAAAAATAAGATAACAAGGTACGTTGACTAATTTAAGAATTAGAGTAATTTATTTACGCCTTTTATTTTCTGCAAGCTTTTTTAGGAGGAGAGAAATAATAAGCACCAAGTAGAGACTGAATTAAATAAAGAGATTCGAAATCCACACCACCCCTTGAATTGGTAAGACTCAAATCCTAAATCTATAGTTGATGAGTCCCTTTCTAAAGTTAATTCAGGAAAGTACTCAACTCAAATAAACGAGTGTCATGTCTTGGACCCTTTCTTGAGAAAAATCCTAGCCAACCAACTACTTTTCTTTTATTTTCTGTTCGAAGATGTTGTTATGGCGAAATTCAGCGAATTCGTTCTTTGGGATTATAGCTGCAAGTTCTTACAGAAAGTAAAAAGAAAGAATAGGAACCCAATAGAACAAAGCCTGCATGCAAGGACAATACTATAGTAAGATTAAAGCACTTCATCAAGGGTAATAATTCCTCCTTCCGATGACCCTAAACAAGTCTTCCTCCTGGATGAACAACTTTTCATTCATCTCTAAGAGAGATTCAGACTCTATGCAAAACGTCACACACTACATTTTTCAACGTACCATATATTTCCATTAAGACAAACATTTGATTCAAACACAGGCTTGCTGCAGAACTCTGGACCTTATGGAAACGTAGACAGTTATTTATCACTTGACCAATGCACGGTCTGCCTTGCGGCTTGCACAACTATTATATCGTATGGAAGCTGCTATTCATCAGTTTCCAATGTGCCTCCCCTTGTTTCTGTCGATCCATTGTCCCCTAGCAGCCCTTGCTCTCTTCCACCTCTTAATGTCTAGCATCCGGGTGAAGATCTTCTGGATCAGGCGAAGCTTATAGGACTGTTGGGCAATCACATTCGCCGTAGACGGGCTCTGGCTTAACACAATCTCATATCCGTCCCGGAAGGAATCCAGGCCTTCAGTTAGAAGTTGCCAGAACAAGGCTCCAGCTGCTGGACCACCATGTTTTGCTGAGGAATAAACCTTGAAATATACGTCGTTGAACAAAGCATCTCTTTCATAGTTGCTGAAGCCACTGTCTTTCCAGGATTTTCCGAATTCTGCAACCATTACGGGTTTTCCAAGCATATACTGAGCATCTTGAAAGTGGGCGTCAAGCCATTGGTTCATAAAAGAGACTTGGGATTGATCATTTGAGCTGGATAGCCTAATCATACAACAACATGGCAAGAACACTCCAGTCAAGATATTCATCAGACTTTGCTGCAATTTAGCTTGAAAACCAAATTAATATCCATGATTATTTATCCGAGGATTGTAATGAGATTTACCAGATATCTGGATAGGAATGTACGGTAGCAAAATCAATGCCAGGTACACGGTTGTTTGCAACGAAATCAGTTCCTATATTCAATCCAGGATTGAGGTGAGTCCTCTGAGGTGTGGATTGTCCATAAAATCCTTCCAGACCAGCTTCCAACAAATGATTTCTGTCTATTGACTTAACATAAGAAGCCATTTCCATAATCCAGGCCTATCAGACATGAACCAGCAACAAAATTCGGTAAGAACCATAAAGGTCAGCCAACATTTTTTGATGAAGATGAACAAGTGAGTGGTATCAAAATACATAGCTAAGCAAAGATCCAAAACTACATGGACATGAACAGATGAGTGGTATCAAAATACATAGCTAAGCAAAGGTCAGCCAACATTTGTTAACAGGTGAGTTTTAAGCACTCATTTTTTGGAGGGGCCAGGATTCATTAAGGTCCCCATGTACTAGCTATCCAGCTTTTGCACCCTTTAGTTTCTAATCATGTCCATGTCAGAGGGCCCAATTTGATTTCAGTAAGTTACTTAACATGGAGAATACGTTTTAATCTGTGAAGGGCGTCTGTTGAAATGCTGATGCAAGAAGTTTAGAGGAATTTGTCCTGCTGTGAGCCAACTAAAGAATGACAACCTGAATGGTCCTTCCCGAAGGATCTGAGGTGCAACGGGGCTCGTTCATCAGCTCCCATGCCATGATAGTGGGATCATTCATGTAAAGAATCCCAGTGAATGTGTTGTATCTGTTGAGAACAGTCTGCACAAAGAACCAAGGTTGTTCAAGTTGCTATCGTTCCAAGTTACATCTCATACTAAAATAAAAAGCTAGGCCTTTCAAATAGCTTAATCTTGAACAGATAAACAACCTCCTTAGCCAAGAAAAAATACATCATGCTAGAAAAGATAAAGGGACAAGATTGGACGAAGAGAAAACATATAACAGAACAATCAGATGGAAGTAGTGTAGTGTCCTTGCACTTACTCTTATGTGATTTTTGTAGTATCCCTTGACAACTGAATTTCTAAAGAAATCATCATCAGAACTAAGGTATTGCCCTCGACTTCTAGCCCAGTCCACGTACTGTTTCTTTCCTCCAAAGCTTTCATAGTTATTTGCCAAGCTTAATATAAGCTTAATCCCATATCTTCTGGCCTCTGCTACAACAAAATCCAACCCCTTCAAGAAAAAAGGTCATGAAGATAACAATAGTTACAACAAAAGTTCACCAAAAAGTGAAATCTTGAGCAAAGACGAAGAGAAGACAGACCTTGAACGTTTGCTCGTTGTAGGCACCAGGAGCATACTGCAAGGCCCTATAACCACCATCGTTGAAAGCCCAAGTCCTTGCAACTGTAAGGCCATGACTAGAAGCTTCCCTAAATGCAGCTGAAACTTTGGACCTCTGAGAAGGGTCAGAAGCCACGTACATTAACCAGTAGGCATTGAAGCCATTAGCATAGTAAGGACCATTATTCAACATGAAATGTATTCCTCTGGTCCTGACAAATCCATCCCCTGCCTTAACTTGAAGAAGAAAGCCCTTTTCTTGCATCAAGAGAAAAAGAAGTAGAACCACTAGAAAATGCTTCATCTCCCTATCTTTTGCTAACAACTCCCAACGCAGGATCAGGAATAATTTTCTTTTTCCCTCCTATGGATAAATGCAAGGAGAAATGAGAATATTTAAGAAGCAGATATCTAGAAGAGGCAGAACCAAAGAATGTGGGGTGTCTGAGTTTTGTCTTTCTGGATGAACAAGAGATTTTTGCACAAATATAACTGAAAAGGCAGTGACCATCATAACTGTGAGGGAAAGTGAGTGAATGTTGTAGGTGGAACTTCTATCTTTTAATTAACCTCGCCTTACGCTGTAGATTACTATGCTGGATGGACCTGATTAACCGTGGTTGCGTTACTTGTGCATAAACTTCTCGCATAAATTGTATTACAGAGAAACTAAAATTAGACAACAACTTTTGCCAAATTCATGACTCTTTAACCATTAAAACTGTGGTCCAATATTTGCTCCGAAAATTTGATCCATAATGATATAAGGTGTATTAACAATTGAGTCTTGATCGCAGTAGTTTAATATTCATCCATAGAGGCCCGAAAAGAGAATTCTCCCTTAAAATGACGTTCTTATTGTTTCAACGATCCAATATCTTAACCCGTCAACTAGAAATTCTTAGATGGACATTTCACACTGATTCAAAGGGAATAATACTTGACTTGCTTGCTTCTGGTGCAAATTGTTGCGCATCTAAAGGAAGTTCCCCTTCCCTCCCAAAACTCCTCTATGAAGTAAAGAGAATCTCTTTGGCTTGAGCTCCACTAAGTGGCCTGGATCCTATGAGCATTACAGTCTTTTTAAGACACCGACAGGCTTATAAGTTCCCTAAGCACGGGATCCATGAAATCCTATTTTGTACCAAGAAGTACTAATAGGCTGCCGTCCACATTCATGAATCATGATGCTAGAACTGTACTATTTAACCAAACACGGCACCGTGATTTTAGATGAGAGCGGCAGGAAGGTAAAATGGTCCGTAGAGTAGGGGACTAGGAATCAAATCGCCCCGCTTAAAAGTTGAGAAAAGTGAGATTCCAGTGACCATCGGGTGACATTTGTTACAAAAAGCAGTAAATCGGCCTGGATGAATGACAAATGCAATTAAAGTAATGGTTGTGGGGCCTTGTGGTGGCCATGGTGATTGATGGACGGGGGTCCTGTAAAATCCTCCAAGTTAATTGAATCGGGATATTTAACTTGAATGCCGCGGGCTGCTCAGCCCCATCATGAGGCCAAAATGGTTAGAGGTTTCTTGGAGTTGCCATCGGCGGTCGAGAGAGCTTTGCCACAAGCCAAGCGAGAACTGCACATGGCAAAGGGCTAAGGGCTGTGGGGTTGGAAATGGATTAGCCGCATGTGAGACAGAGATCATGCAATGTTTGTTTGGTAAGTGTGGGCTCAAGTGATACCAGGCATTCGAACTTAAAGATCCTAAAGGTCAAGGTTTCGAATTCTGAGAGGCCCTCCAAGATACACCATCAGGATCTTAACTCGAAGACGGTGTTGAGTTGACAAATACACAATTGGCCTTCACAGTAAGCAAGAATGGATATATGCTATTGTTTTAGTTCAAGTGGTACCAGGCATTCGAACTTAAAGACCCTAAGGGTCAAGGGTTCGAATCTTGGGGAGACCCTCCAAGATACACCATTAGGGTCTTAACCCCAAGACGGTGCCGAGATGACAAATACACAATTGGCCTCCACAGTAAGTAAGAATGAATATATGCTATTGTTCTAGCTACCATATATATATAGGCATCATTTTCGTGATCCTCAATTGGTTGGCATTTTTTCGTACCATTGACAATACAAATGTATAGAGGAATTAACGCAACGGGGTTTTTCTATCATAATAATTAGTAATTTGTGAATTGTGATGGATGCACAAAACTTACGAGTTGGTATGTTTCTGGTAGGTAAAAGTTCTACGCGACCAAATCGACGACTGGCTTGAGTGTCGCAGGCTAATGAGATGAGAAAAAAAAAAGCTTTCAATTAATGATCACAGGCTTGACATAACTAATGTTATCTTCTTTTTTATTATTATTATAACGATAATATTTATATAATCTACTCTATTTTAATCCAGAGAAAGGAGCCAATGAAAACTATTAATTGGCCTTGTTTAGATTGTGATTTTTCGTCGGAAAATTACATCGTTTTTCGTGATTACATTTTTCTATTACTTTTTTTCCTCGTATAATGCAATCCAAACACAACCTAATACTACTATCGAAAAGCTTAACTAATACTACGGTTCTGCAATGGACCAATCCCAAAATCTGCAGCTCTGACTTGTGAAGATCAATCATGGTGATGGGCAGATAACACAGAACCCCATAGTTTTGTTTCATTCGACAAAATATAAAGTTCGTATATTCATATAATACATATCACTTTCAACCCAATATAAACGTAAAATAAATCTAGACTTTAGCCTTTGTTTTTTTTTTTGGGGGGGGGGGGTCCAAATTATGAATATTACTCCCTCCTCCCACTTTGATAATTCTGTATTCCTTTTTCATTTGTCCCAAATTATAATTCACTTTTCAATTGAAGAATGTAGTTGTATTTTAATTTTTCTAAAATACCCTTATTCAATGTAAGTTGTTGTTACTATAAACATATTCCATTTAATGAGAGTTAATTCTTTTTTTACTATCAATTCAAATTTCTATAAAATTGTACCATATTTAATGTAAGGGTATTTTAAGAAAATAACAATTTAAATTTACTTTCCTAATAAAATTAACTACTTTTTCTTAAACTGTGTGAAAAAAGAAACACAATCCCGTTTTTTAAACACAACTATTCTTAAACGGTTGCTACCTGCAAGCAAGTATCCTTGCCTCCCTTATTTAATGTAAGGTGTAGGACATAATCCCGGTTTTAAATGGGCGCAACGAGCGGAACCACCATTTTTAAGACATGTGGATGTGGCCCGGTGTGTCTGGCCCACCCAAATCGGGGCCAATTAAAGCTTGCCTGAATTACAAATGGGTCCCATCTCAGGGGTCTCTTTCGATACCTAACAACGAATTCCAAGGTAAATTTGACCGCGGTGATGAAACATGGACCCATGCTGTCTCACCTATGCACAAACGCAAGATTTTTTGCAGTTGTTTTTAAATTCGGATTAGAGAGCGAATCGGAAAACTTTTTGGTTTGCAATTTAATCGATTCGGCCGATTTAACTCCAGTTCAAAGATTAATAATTTTTAATTTATTTTAATATTAAAAATAAAATATGTTGAATTTTCCGCAGACCATGTTATACTGCATCGTGGCTCATCTCCAGAGGACTTTGTCCTAATTTTATGTCATACTTCCAAGGCCCGGACCAAAGTCCTCTGCATACGTTTTCACTTTACTTTTCGCGCATGAATGACTTTCGTATCGTGTCTGGAGAAGCGTGAATCGTTTGGGCATGGTCACGCTGCTTTTCTTTTTATTTTATTGACAAGATTATTTTTTCTTTTTTGTACATAGATTGCTCCTACTTTACACCAGGGGAGAGTGGACTTAAAGAGATGGAAAGAAATCCGATAAATCACCACTGATGCGTCACCACAATAGATTTGGTTGCCACGGTCACATTACTGATTACTCTTGGTGCGACTTCTTGTACAGTCGTATGCGTGATTTATGGGGCTTGGCTTCTTAAACTAGGTCTAGTTTCCGTTCTAAAATATATGAGCCAAAAGTAACAGCCTAAACTCCGCCTAATCATATGGATATGTGATTGCAAAAAGCTTGGAAGACCCTCCGCAATTGATGCCTACTCACTCCCAAAATGGTCAAATGGATCCGAAGAGAGACTCCTGCGGCAGTGCAGCCCTTGAAATTTGGCGCTTCATCATCGCCGTTCCCTCCGCATTTTATCTATCAAGGCAGGAAAAGGAAAACTAGTGTGTGTGTGTGCGCCAAATCCTCTTTCAAAATCAAAACTTGCATCCTCCTCATCCTGCATCATACATTGATATGTAAAGAAAGAAAAAGGGAAAAGTGTTCTTTATACTACCAATTTTGATTCTTACGCAACCAAAAGATGAGAAATTCGTCTATTCAATCCAATTTAAGATGAGAATTTTATAATCAGGGCGGAGAAAGCAGAAGAGGTTAGAGGCGACGAGATGATTAATCCAAGGCGCCATTAGACGCATGCAAAAACAGAAAAAAGTGTATTGGTCGGACCCACAAAGCATTGACCATTTACCGATGGGGGCACTTTTGGGTTCTACACTCCCCGGCTGAGGATTCTTGCTCTGACTGACAGCATCGTCGCAAATTAAAACAGTAGTAGTAAAATACAAAGGCGTCAGCCATGCTCCTCTACCATCAGATTACTTCAAAAAAAAAAAAACGATCTGCTGCCGAGAGACTATGCACACAAGGATTTCGTCCTCAACAGCACCATGAGATATTCATCAATGGCGAATAAAAAAAGCACTTGAGTCTGACATGTCATAATGCTCTAATTTGCCCGCCATAGCCATAGTACTTCAAAAGCCCTTCATTTTGCCTCCAATCCTCTTTAACCTTCACTTGAACCTGTTTCATTTGGAATTCGTCTTGAGCAATTTTTCAAACTAAACAAAATAATAATAATACTACTCATAATAATAATAATGGCTGATCATATGTTCCTCTGTAACTCAGTACCATGTTACACCTACATGACCATTTTGAAACAGTGCTGTAGGCTTTCTTTTCGTTTCAACTTACTTGTATGAAAGCTAAAAGATATGGGACTTTCTTCTTCATCACTGACATTCTAGCACTGCTGAGTACTATCAAGAAGGATGCTGTTATGTTGTTACCTCTAGAAAAACTTTCTTCTGCAAGAAATCTTCTATGTCTAGCCGAGCAGCTGTTGCAAGCAGCTTCAAAGCTTTCCCTTCCTAGAATGGTTGAGAACGGATGAGATAAAACATCAAAATCTTTTCAATCTGTTCCATCCTATGACAAATCGTGTGAAATTCTCTAAATTCTAGCTGAAATACAAAAGCATATTTTACCTTTCCAATGAGGATAATTTTCTGTGAGTTTTTTTCCACAACAACTTCAACTTGAATGAAATCTTTTGCATTTGGTCTTGTTTTGTAACTAATAACATTAACCTGTAGAATTTAGCAAAGCATTGGCCATAAATATTTTTTGGAAACCAAGCGTTTCCTAAAACCAAAGGAAGAGACCATAAAAAGAAACCAAGATAGGTAAAGAGGTTTTCTAGTAAATTAATCTGGTTTTCAACAGTATTTCATCACCTGGCATGCATAAGGGACTTCATTTCGGTATTGAAGAAAGATCTTTTCTCTAACAATTTCAGCTAGAAAAAATCTTTCAGGGTGCTCACTAGCAATGTCCTGAAAACCATGGGAGGAAAGTTATTGAACGGCGCAAAATTTTGTAGTTTTGAGAACAAATCCTAAAGAGATAGGAGATGTATACAGCTCACTCTCCAGAGATAGCTATTACAAAAACAGTAATTTTGAAGTTTTGCATATGCAGTGCCAATTCTTCCAACTAATATTATCAAATAAGATCCTTGACAAAGCCCCGGAATATCAATAAAACATTCATACCCTCCAAATTGTAGCATTACGCATCTAAAATAATGTGCTAATTTAACTTGTGAAAGGACATGAAGAAACTTGACAACTGTTTATGAGCATTCTCTTCTAAGAGAAGCTTTTCTTTATGCCTTGAAAGACACTTATATGCTCTCTTGAGAACTTTATTTACATAAAAGCTGAGAGATGTAAAAGTTGAATTATTCAACAGAAGTCGAAATCAAGTTGAAGTTCATCTCATCTTCAAGATTTGCCTCAGTGACAGATTCATAAAATCAAATTCAAAGTCCAATCACACCATCAATAGTTTTTTTCGCATATAACAGCTAGAGCAGGAGATTTGACAGCAAGGGTAGGAGAAGAACATCACCATCCACACAAGCTCTCCTAGACACAGATGCTCAAGTCACTCTTATGAAGCACTACCAATATAGGCAGTAATTAAGGTCATTTAACGCAAAAATATGGTGTTGATATCAAAAGGTATGATCTAATTCAACCAATAGTTCTTCTCCCATTTTTGCTTTTATATCCACTTTTAATTTTCTAATTATCTTGAACAAGAAAAACGGATTAAAGGATCAAAAGTGTTCCCAATTTCCTTCCATAATACTAGCAGCTTATGACAACAGATTTTGCACTTACATGAATTGGAAGATCAAATTTCAAAAACTTAAAAAAAAGTAGACTTTAAAGAGATAAAAAAGATAGAAGAAAGCATCTAACTAATGCCCTAAAGAGAGTAAGAGAACAGATCATGCAAACCTTAGGGTAAAAAGCTGGACCGAGAGGAAGTTTTGATAAAATCCAATCCTTGACATCATCCACTCCATGACCATACTTGGCACTAACTGGAATGACCTCATCAACATCAGTAAATTTCTCATACCACTGCAAGTTAGCCAACATACATTTCAGAGATATAATGGTAAGACAAAAGGTTTTCCTTTAAAGGTTCCCGGCCACTATAAAGACTTGCAATAGCATTCCAAGATCATAATATTGCTTTGTTTGACAAGAAAAAGCAGTCAAAAAGATCATTTAAATTTGTTTGCCACAATTTTAAGATAAGGGTCATTTGACTTCAGTATGGACTACAACTCTAGTATCAACTATCAATCATCCGAAAAAACCTTGGCACATAATTATCAAAAGTTATACCAAAGATGGATGCGATGCAGCTCATGGAATCCAACACATGTGAAACAAAATACTTGTCTTTTAAAGCAAATGCTGATTGATATATTGCTCACTCTTCCTCACCTTGTTAAGTAAGCCAAAGCATGAAAATCACCAAAAGGATTACAATGCAGATGATAAGAAATTCTGACCTCAAGTTTCTTTGCTATTTCACCAGGTTTGATCAGATCCTTCTTGTTCATAACTAACAAAGTGGGTATTTTATCTTTCAGCTCTCCCACACCCTCGTCTAAAATTTCATCAATCTGCAAGCAGAGAAGGAAATTGTCAAAAACGGAAAAACAACTTATCAAGTAATTTGAAATATAAAGAGTACCTTTTGGGGCGCCTTACATGCATCAACAACCACCAGCACACAGTCTGCGTTTATGGCAGCACTGCGCACATTGTTCATCATCATTGAGTCTAACTTATGCATTTTTTTTTCAATCACACCAGGCGTGTCATAAAGTATCATCTGTTAGTGGAGGTATAATCTTGATTAGCAACATATAATTTTTCCCCTAGCACATGCACAGGAAACAAAAAATTATAACAACATTCTAAAACATATATATTTATCAGATGGTCCATGTTGACTAGAGCATGAAAATTGGCCAGATATACAGAAGAATATCCTCTGTTCGGGTTTATACCCAAGAGAGATATTCAAAGTACATCCCAAAACCTTGTCTGTCCAGGTAAGATATGATGGATATGGTATAAATACCAGGATAGAACCATACTACCAAAAGAACAGAAAGTTTATAGTGAAATTGGGAAGTTCATATTGGAAGAAATCATCCTAAAACAACAATATCATCGTGGCATTCATTCAATGAGATTTACATCTGCAAAGCTCCACCACATGGTATGAAGTTTGACTAAAGCAGAAATTCATCCACATACGTAATGAAATTCATCAAACAGAACCACAGGCATTATTCAGCTATATCGATTTCCCCCAATTTTCAGCCCATAAAGTTCAAAGTTTGAAAACAGGCCAGCAATGCAGATTATCACTCCAACAGGCCTAGTTAAAATGCAGAAATCTAAGATAATACACCAAATAGGAAACCAAAAGCGAACAACGATCATCCTAAACATTACAAGCTTTTGAAACCTGATAGTCTTCGCCAGAACATATACCAAGAATTCGATGACGCGTGGTTTGAGGCTTATCCGTAACAATGGACAGCTTCTGCCCAACCATTTGATTCGAAAGAGTACTTTTTCCTACATTTGGCTTCCCCACCACTGCCACATATCCTGTATAAGCATGTAATCCGTCATTTCAATCATCAGCTCAAGCAGAAAACTTTTTACATGTTCAAATCACCGAAGGAATACGCTACTAATATGCGAGAATCAGATACAACCATTCACTAAGGGCCTTTGTCCTTGTCCTAGAATAGATTATGACATTGTCATTAAACTTTCCCCTCCATGTTCCTAATTTTCTACATCTTTTTTGGGGGTGATGTATAAGTATAAAGCAACAGTCATGAAGCTATGCCAGTTGAAATGTGAGCTTACCACTACGATGGCCAGTGGTATCGCTAGCAAAATCAAGCTCCTCCGTCTCATAATCGTCGAGCCAAGCCGTATTCCGGTCAGGCTTTTCACTCAAGGATAGGAAAGTTGATGACTCATTGTCTTCTTCCTCTCCTTCTTCGTCGCCTAATAAAGAAACCGACCTCGTCCTTGCTGCTTCATGACTATAGTCATCTTCTTCCTCAACTTCGTCTTGTTCTTCTTCCTCTTGTGCTTCTTCACTTTCAGTTACTATGTCCCGATATGAAAGCTGGTCCTTCTGTAACATGGGTCCATCTCTATTTCCAATTTTGTTACTGGGTTTTCTTGGTTTGGCTGGCTTAAAAGATTTTGGGATTGAACTTCCTCTAGGATGATGGAGGGAGAGAAGATTGTACTGGGTTTTGTTCGAAAGAGAAGGATAATTGTTTTGTTGTAACGAGGCAATGGGCTTTATCAGAGTAAGAGAAAGCTCCACCATTTTCAATTTCGCCTACTACAGGGAAGAAGAAGAGGGAGGACCAGAGGAGGAAGCTGGGCCGTTGCCTTGCTGACGCTATATTCGTCACCGTCGCCCGTGCTTCTCTGTATCCGTTTTCCTTTCCTTTATCCGTAGCGCTCAAAAGTACGTTTTTGACTGTTCTAGTGTCGTACAAAATTTGCAAGATTTTAAAGCAAAATAGTTGAAGTTGATCACTCACAAAAATTTCAATAACTGCAATTAAATGTCATTAACTTCTTATATTCTCCTAATATTTTTCTTAATAACCAAACGTGCAGGAAAACTTATTTTTATTTTCCTCTATGTTACTTTCTTTTATTTCACTTTCCCATACAACTTTCTTTCTATTCAAACAGAGTTAGGTTTTTCAGTTTGTTTTTCCAAGTCTAAAATGCATAATTTCTTTTAAAATATTCCAAATCCAAAAATTAATTTGGCCAAGCACCATTTAAATGTAGGCTTTCCAAGTCTAAAATGCATAATTTCTTTTAAAATATTCCAAATCCAAAAATCAATTTAGCCAAGCACCATATCAATGTAGACTTTGTCACAAAAACACAGACTACTGCCATATATCTCAGGACGGGTTGATTCCAAGTAAAACCTGCTTCTCACGCCAGTGTTTCTGTTTGTTACCGTTCTTGACCGAAGCCCCTGCTCTAGTGATGCACTGTTTAGCCCGGAAGCCACCAGAGGATGATGCCATGTTTTATGTTTAGCAATTAGGATGGAACAACAAATTTCCATCTTTAGTACTACCAATCAATGTGTTTATCCCTCTTTCACAGCAAATATACAACGGAAGAATTCCAAAAAGGAAGATAGTTGCAGGAAAAGGGGGAAAATTGACCTTCAGGCTGGCTGTTCTTCCAAGTAATCACAAAGCATAATTTTCACCATATTCTAAAACCACATTCAATTTCCTATAAAGCTGAAACACACACCCTGAAATAGCTACACCCATTCTGTAATCCTGGCAGGTGAATAACAAATATGTTGGAAAATCTTTATCAAAAGCAACTACTAAGTTGTTTGCATTAAGATCCATAACAACGTTATGTAGTTACACAGGCACTCACGGAAAACCTTTCATAAGGCGAACACCCGCCTCAAAAGCATTGATTCCAACTGCCAAAGAACAAGTGTAGCAGGGAAAACAGAAGGAAACATTTAAGACTCGGATCAATGAGTACGCAAGTATTTCCATCCAACCTGATGGCCCCCTGCTGTACAAAATGTATAATTCTTGAACATATTCTCATAGTTATAATAGCAAGACAGAGGAATAAATATCACATCAAAGCATTTTAAGTGCAATGCAAATGAACGAAAAAGAGATTATCTTGCCCTGCTGTATTGCAGACTTCAAAATTTGTAATGACTTGTATTATTTTTTTCATATTCAACCATTTCATATTGCAAGCTAAAACCATAGCTGAGCATAAAGATTATTTTGGAGGACCTATACATCTCCTGCTAAAGAGAATGATATGTGAAACTAAAGGACAAAGATGTTGCTATTCACAAAATGACATATGTGACCTCTCTTGCTCAACATGTCATGCATAAACATAGGGATTGAAACTCATTTCTCTGATGTATGATCACCCTCAGGAGAAGGCAAGAGATTTGTAGAAGACCCTTTTCCAGTTGGGAAGCAAGACCATGCTAAAACAGCAGCACCAACTGTTATAGCAGCAGCAACTGATCCCCAAATCCACCTCTGCCTTTTCTTCCTTCTTTGCCTAAGACGCCTTGATATCTCTAAACAAAGGCAAACAACAGAGAGAGTTTATAACTATGTGTCTGAAAAGAGAATCAGAGGAAGTTGTCAAAGTATCCATCATCGGCAATCTTGACAGGAGTAAAGCAAGGGGTATGGTGATTATAATCAAATGGAAAAACCCAAAAAGCTGGCCTCCTTGGGAACCAGTTTTGATACCCAGAAGCTCCTTAAACCAAGTCTAAGAATTTGAGCTCTTTCTCTGCCTAGTGGTTTTGCAGCTCTAGAGGGGAAAATACAAAAGGAAGAACAAACAACGTAGATAGTATTAATTTGGATTGTATTAATCTAGGATGCAGCACAGTTGAACATAACAAAGTAGCTAGTATCTTGTTCTTTGCTGTTTATGGTGTAAAAATTTTACTCTTCAATTGGAACTCAAATTATCACCACAACCAACGTGTGCAGTACAATTTAGCAAATGTGCAGTACAATTTAGCAAACGATGATCAAACAATAAATATACCCGGAGCTTATCCAGGGTTGCAATCCCTTGTCCAGTAAATCAAACATGAACATTTATTGCTGACCTAAAGAAACTCAGTGCTCATTTAGTCAACAAAACACCAGCCATGTCAATCATAAACCCAGTGCTAAATGCTAACCTGGGTCAAAATACTAGGCATGGACATACAATCAAAAGCAGAGCTAATCACCAAAACAAACGGGAATATGATATACTACATTTTCTTCATTACAGACAACTATTCCTATCTCCTCATCCTTCCAAGTATCCAAAATTCCTGTAAACATGATTCCTTATTAAACTTGATGAAAGACTACCTTTAAACAAATATCTCAATGACATGTTTTTCATAATTAAGAAAAGGAACAGGTATGCACATTGGAAACCAGGTCTAATTCAAAATTTAGAAGGCAATTAAACAGTGGGGAGAGGAATTAGGAATCGACTTGACAATGGTTAGATGTTCCATTAATTTTCTTTTTTCATCTTTTTTTTTTTCAAACCCCATTTGTCTTTTCTCTTCTTCCGGTGATGCCTTGGTTCATTACAACCGGGAGGAACCTAAAAAAGTAAGCGAAACTGGAAAATCACACAAGTCACATATGAAAGCATATTATCACAAGCATAATCTCTAAAGCTCAAAGGAGAGATGAAGAAATGAATACTACAAAGTAGACAACTAGCCCAATAGTTAAGGTGATTAGGCAACTGATAGTTACAAAAACCGACCAAAAAGGAAATCTCACCTATTGTTTCCTGATTCCTGTGAGACATCTCCCTATTAACAGCTTCATAATAGTGTAGCCTGTCCAACAACCGAGCAATCTCAAAGTTTTTCAACTCCATTAGAGCCTCCATCTCCATCTCAACCTCAGCCTTGGCAGTTCCTCTCCCAATAGAATTTGACACAAATCGAGCAAGGTCAAACTGTAGGGACAGCTCTCGAATAGGATTTATATCCTCCGAAGCGGCAACAAGATCTACAGGTAGAGTCAAACCTATGACAGATAATTCTTCTCGAATCTTCTGCCACTGGGCTCTGGTGTTTCTCAATGATTCTTCTGCTTGCTTGCGCCTCTCTAACTCCGTCAACACACTCAATTGTAATTCACGCAATTCAGCTTCAAAGTCAGGTACAGAAGGCTGTGGGCCAGTCTCAGAAGATAGTTCTGAAGAAGGAGATGCATGTAAGGCACTAATGGACCCAATTAACAGCACGACAATAATTCCACAAATGAATTTATACAGCTGAAAATCAATCAGCTAAGCAGCAGTTCATAACTGTCCATGTTCTTTTCGTTTCCATAGAATTTTCAGATCTGAAATTTGATCCTCAAAGACACTTGAACATTTTTTTCCCCAAAACAAAACCAAAAAAAAAAAAAGAAAAGAAAAGAGCTTCATACACTGTTGTAATAACAAGAACCACGTGAAATCCAAGCTCAATTACATATAAAAGAAGTCAGTATAGCAGAGTGCAAAGAAATTCGGAGGGAAAACATCCAATACCTTCCCAAGCATCATAAAATTCTGCCAATGGAGTTGCAACATTCAGAGATCGCTCTACCACACTATTAGTCTCACTTTCAGCGTTGCTCTTGACACTCATTGATTCTTGGGGATCGAAGAAATCATCACCCTCACCATCTCGTTGGAAACTGAATATGGCAGAGTTAGATATACTATTTTCCACCACTGAATGATTAGCCAAATCATTAATTCCAAGTTCCCTGTTAGAAATACCATTGACACTCTTTTCCTCCACAGGGCTATGGACAGTTGATGCACCATCATATACCTCCGGAGATTCAATGACCTTGTCTGGAAGAGTATTATTGTCATGTGTAGAACTAGCAACCTCCCTCTCTGCATGTTTTACCTCGTCATCCAACTTTTTCTCATCTAAAGCTTGATGGCGTGTGCCAACATCATCCTGAGAGAAGCTCTTTAGAAGTCGTGGACCACGCCGCTTGTGATTGATGATATAAGGTGATGGTGGGAATGAAGAAGGAGAATCAGGAAGCGGGGTTGGTTCGGGAGTAGCATAAAGTGCTGGAGATATCTGAGCCCAGTGACGTTTCCCATCTATGGTCACGTTTGATGTATCATTTCTCGTGTCCAACTTCCCAGTGGGAATACTTACTGCCTTTTCGAGCTTACTTCTGGGAGCAGTAACTCCCTTATCAAAAGTGGAAATCGAGGTACTGTTCCTCCCTTCCACTTTCACATCAGGACCATTCTTCCCTCCTGCCATAGTTTCTGGAGCCCCTGTTTCTATTAATCTATCCAAAGCTATAGCTGTAAACGCGGGCATGATTATACAACATCAACAACCTGCCCAACCAGTAGTAAATATTCCCTCAATCACCATAAAACCTCAAGCGATAATTCACGAGCAGCAATTCAGGTGAAAAGGCTGAGAATAAAAAAAATCCCACATTAAACTAAACTCAAAAACGCCTAATCTGCATAGACATGCCTTCTTCCAAATTCCAATAAGACATAACCAAACCAATCGATTTTAAGAGGAAAAAATGGACTTTCATCGTTAACTAACCCCTCTGAACCCCAAGGATTGCTTAATGTTTAATCATGCAAACTGGCATAACTGAACACCGTGTCTAATAATAGAACACATGCTAATCAAAAGTAGAGCTGCTATATCAAAAAAAGACAAAGAAAAGGAGTAAAACAAGGTCGGATAATCAGCGAACCGGACCAAGTAAATAATTCAAACGTCCATTTGGAAAATATACCGTTTGTCAGCTAGTGAAAGCTACAGAAAACAGAATAAAAGCTAAAAACAAGTCCGACAATACAAAATCCACTCCACAGACAGATAAAACCACGTACGCTCGAATTCAGCTGAGTCGGGGGGAGAGGGAGAGCAATA